ATATATATATATATATATATATAAAATCAATCAGCTGGAAGCTTTTTCTGCAGCTCTGAGCTGCACAAAGGTGCAGCAGGTGCTAAATTATTTTAAATAAAAATTTCATGCCTATCATGCAGCTCATCCATCATTCAGCCAATTGTGTGTCATGTCCAATCTTATTTTGAAAAACCGCGATAGAGCGAGTTCATGAAAAACAAACCGTGAAGTAGCGAGGGAGTACTGTATACCATTTGTCTCATGGTAAGCTGCTCAGATTATGACTCGACAAATGTAAAATAAAGCTTTTTTTATTATTATTTTTTACACTAAATCTCTCCTTTGTTCTTGTTTAAAACCGATCTGTGCAGCTTGTTTTTGATTTGCTTCTTCCAGGGACATCCCCCAGGAGAGTCTGAAAGGAGCGCACTCTCACTGGCGACACAGCTTCTCTTTTGTCAACAACCACTACTTATTCCTGGCTTGCTTCTTCATCGTGTTGCTCTCCATCATGCTGTACGTGCTGCGTCTCCGCCGCATCCATCGGCGTGCGGTGCAGCGTTATAGCCCCTCCTCTGTCCCGTGGCTGGAGCAGGGCCTCGGCTCACCATCACTCCCCATCAACCTCTAAACTGGACAGTGTGGCTTTGCAAAGCCAAACATCGCTCCTCTCCGAGACTCTTTTCATGCTCTGTGTCTTTAAAAGCTATAGATTACAGACTTTTGGATGAATCATGAAGCTCTTTCAATATTTATCTTATTTTGTTTATCTTTATTCCTTATCATATCTGTGCCTATATGTCTACTGCCTCCATGTGTCTTCTTTTTTTATCACAAAGACATGGGTGTGTTTTATTCAGATAATTCATACCCAAATAACACGTGGTCTACACTTCGGAGTTTGTCATTCTGTTCTGGCATCTAGTTAGGTTAATATGTGTGGATATTTGCCTTTTGTGTCTTTTTTTAATATACGTGTTCACATTTTTGTTGTAGTTATAGTAGTTAGAATAAACAGTCTATTTCTACAGAATATTTTAAGGCAATAGGATTTACTAAAAACTGTAGAAGCACTTTGAAACGCAGTCAAACTGCATGTCCCGACTGAAGTGTTTGGTTTTTTTTGTTTGTATTTTTCTGCATATTTATGTTGCAAGATTAGAAGCCTTTAATAACTAATCGAGTGCAATACATGTCTTGTCACTGTAGGGAAATTCTCCGAAAGCTCCTCTGCCATTTTGTCAAGAGAATCGGTCCAGTTGAAGGCCCTGCTGAACATTTTTCTGTTTTCTGACTCCAGTTGGATGTTTGGTACATATATTTATTTCCAGCTTCATTTTCAGAAGCTGTCGTATCACTGCTGTGGGGAGATTGTAATGAGAGAGCATGTCTCATTATTTAAAGAAAAATATTCCAGTCAAGTGTTTTCACAGATGAATGTGAAGTATCTGTGGCGCATCTGCAAAGCTGTAATAAAGGTTTTATGAGATAACATTGTGGCTGCTGGTTTTATTAGCTCACTACCAGAGAGGTGTCTGCATTTGATGTACGTAAAACCTCAAACTGACGGCCTGCATGTAAATAAAAAGACAGCTTGAGCCCGACAGGGAATTAATTGGACACGTCATGAGAGGTGTTCTTTGAAAAGTCTGACCTACAGGAAGGCTCTTACTAAAGGAAACAGGAGCAATAAAAAGATCATAATTTAGCAGTGAAACCGATTTATCAGGTGTGGAACCAAGTTGGTTATTCAGAGAAGCTCTTACTATGTTGAGTTTCTGCATAAATCATTAGAATATTCCCCATATTGATGTGTGAAGTGGCTGATGCATTATTTCTGCTCAGAGTAAAATTATTATAATAGTGTCCTGGAGGAGAAACTGAACACAGAACATTCTGAGGCATGACCTGCATCGAGCATTTTGAAATCTATGACCGCTTCAGCAGAAAAACAAACCCTTTGTTTTCATCTATTGCTGAGTCTGAGGGACACGAGGATGGAAAGGTGATGCTTCAAATGTTCCACCTCTTCAGTTTACCTAATTTTTGACAAATAAGCCTGGAAACAAGACTTTTGTAAAGGTTTTTAAAAAAAATTTTGACAAATGGCTCAAATATGCTTTTAGGAATATTGTCCCAATCTAAAGTTTTGAGCAACAGAACAGTGTACACCTTATACATAGCATTAAATCATATATAGCATGAAAACTTTTATAGGCTATAAACCTTAACAAGTAAAATCAAATCTAACATCAAAGCACTGAAGTTGACTAAAATTAATTTTAGCTGTAGAATCAGCAGCTGCCCTGGGAATTATGTTTTTAAATTCTCTGATGATACTGCTGTTCTCAGCTTGCTGCATGGGGATATGGACTCATCATATTTTAATGAGGTTCAGTCTTTTGTTCAATGGTGCGATGACCACCACCTTGTTATTAATGCCAATAAAACAGAAGAGATGACTGACCCCGGGTCTCAGTGACAATCTCCCACTTTTTATTCATGAGCAGAAAATAAAGCAGGTTTGTTCTTACAGATATCTGGGTGTTCACCTATAGATAATCTGTTCAAGTGAGAAATTCATGTTAATATGTTGTGCTCCCGTCTACAGCAGAGACTGTATTTTTTACGTAGACTCAGAGTCTTTGGGGTTAACCAGAAGCTTATGGTTTTATTCTATCGGGCCATGTTGGAAAGCATCGTCAGGTTTGGAATGTCAGCGTGGTTTGGTAATCTCTCTGTGCAACTTAAATCTAATCTTAGTCGCATGGTACAAACTGCAATGAAGGTGATAGGAAGGACTGATCACCCCTCCCTGCAGTCTATCTATGATGAGTCTGTCCTCAGACTTGCTCGGAGGGTGCTGTCTGACCACACTCACATCCTCAACTCACAATACGAACTGTTGCCATCTGGAAAACAGTTTAAAATCCCTGGTTGTAGATTTAACAGATTTAAAATTAATTTGTCCCAACATCAGTCAGATTGTTAAACAAAGTATTTTATTGATTGTAGTGTATTTAAATATGGAAGAAGCTTTGTTTAGCACACAATGTCCAAGACAAATTTCCCCTTGGGGACAATAAATATCCATCCATCCATCCATCCAATGATTCATCCATCCAATGATTTTTGTTCAACACTGCTGAAGAAGTTGAAACCATACGAAAAGGTTTCATCACTAAACTATTAATGCAAGTTGAATTTGAACAGCTGACATTTGCTGAAAGCGGTAGAAAAAGCAGTAGAAAAACTTTAGAAATGTGTTTAAAAAAGAGGCTGAATAGAGCAGAAATGCAGCAGAATAAGCAGAAATAGGCAGAGGCTGAAAATATTACAAAAAGTCTTAAATAAGCAACAAACAAGGCAGCTGAAAAGATAATAAAAAAGCTGAAACAGCAAAAAAGAAACTGGAATCAGCAAAAAAAAAAAAAAGTAGCTGAAAAAGCTAAAAGGAAAAAATATCAGAAATTAGCAGAATGTCTGAAAGGAGCATAAAAAGTAGAAATTATTAGAAAGAATCACAAACGTTGGAAATTCAGTTCAGTTTATTTATATATATTTAGCAATAAAATAACAGAAGAAATGTTCAAATTGGTTAAAAAATTATTGTTTAGCATAGTAGCATAAAAAGTAGCTGAAAAAAGTAGAAAAAGCTTAATTTATTAAAGATGCTGAAACCAGTATAAGAAGCTAAAAAGGACAAAAAGACTCGGGTAGATGACGATGATGACACAATGAATGGTCGAGGGCAAGGAAGTGTCAAGGGAATCAACAGATATACATTTAGCAAGGATTCTTGAGAGAACTCTGTTGATTATTGCGAAAAATGAATAGCAGAAAAACTAACTCATTCACATTGAAAACATCTGTAAAATAGGCGTGAGAGAAAGGAAAATAATAGAAGAAAATAGAGTAACAAGGGGCTTGATTACGAGGACCCCAACAGATGAAGACTTGGAGAAACGTATAAGGAGCATTAGTGATGTAGAAGTCAGTAGGAAGATTATTAAGAAATGTTGATAAAGTGTTCCAAATATGTTCGAAAAGTTGGAATTTAAAGAAACAAATTCCTAGAAAGAGGGCAGCATGGTGGCACAATTGGTAGATCTGCTGCCTCTCAGTGAGCAGGTCCCTGGTTCAAACCCCGGTCCAGGGGCCTTCTGGGTGGAGTTTGCATGCTCTCACCGTGCATGCGTGGGTTTTCTCCGGGTGCTCCAGTTTCCTCCCACAGACCAAAAACATGCATGTTAGGCTGATTGGTAACTCTAAATTGTCCCTAGGTGTGAGTGAGAGAGTGAATGGTTGTTTGTCTCGTTTGTCTCTATGTGTCCCTGTGATGGACTGGAGACCTGTCCAGGGTGTCCGTCCCAGGAGTCTGAAGACGAGACACACCGGTGCGTATCAGCTGTTCTCAACGACGTTCACGTGAAAAAACTGATTTGATGTGAAAATTGTTGGCTTTTTGCAGAGCGACACCCAGAAAAGAAAAAAAACAACACACAGAGTGGTTTTTTTATTTTTATTTTTTTTATTTATTTTTTTAAATCAAATTCAATTCAATTTATTTATATAGCACCAAATCACAACAAAGTTGTCTCAGGGCACTTTACAGGAACATTCACATACATAAAAGCCAATTAGTAAAGTTCTCTATCTAAGGAATCCAGCAGACAAGATGAATCTTGGCTTCGTTGCAGTCTCCCATCCTGAGCAAGCACAGTGGTAACAGTGGAAAGAAAAACTCCCTTTTAACAGGAAGAAACCTCCAGCAGAACCAGGCTCAGGACAAGTGGCCATCTGCTTTGATCGGCTGGTTTGAGAGGACAGGAAGGAGAGACAGACGAACATAGAATGGTAGGTCCAGGTATAGGTCCAGGTGTATCTGAAAGACAAAAAAAACCACATGTTAAGGATAGAAAAAATAATTACAAATACAAAACAGGTTGAGCAGAGTAAGTAAAGACAGTAGCAGAGTGAAGAAATGTGGTCAGTTTGTCCTCCAGCAGTCTAAGCCTATAGCAGCATAACTAAGGGACAGCTCAGGAAACCCAAGCCGACACTAACTATAGGATTTATCAAAAAGGAAAGTCTTAAGCCCAGTTTTAAAACTGAATAATGTGTCAGTCTCACAGACAGAAACTGGAAGTTGGTTCCACAAGAGAGGAGCCTGATAAATGAAGGATCTGCCTCCCATTCTGTTTTTGTAAATTCTAGGGACCACAAGTAAACCTGCAGTCTGAGAGTGAAGTGCTCTGTTAGGAAAATATGGAACAATAAGATCTGTAATATAAGATGGAGCTAGGTTGTTGAGAGGTTTGGTGGCGCAGAGGTTAGAGAGGTGGGCTTGTGATCCGAAGATCGCCGGTTCACGCCCCAGCCCCGACAACATCAAAATTGTGGGTGGGGTAGGTGAAACACCCACACTTGCCCCCACCCTCATTCGCCCCACTCTGGGCCCATGAGCAAGGCCCTTAACCCCCACCATGTGCTCCCTAAACAGGTCTCTCTTGAAAATGAGTTCTCGTGGCTCAATGAGACTAACCTGGATAAATAAAGGCTAAATGAAAAATGAAAAAGATTTTGAATTCAATTCTGGACTTGACAGGGAGCCAATGGAGAGAAACTACAACTGGAGAAATATGATCTCTCCCACTAACTCCAGTTAAGACTCTGGCAGCAGCATTTTGGATCAACTGAAGACGATTTAAAGAAGTATTTGGACACCCAGATAATAAACCATTGCAATAGTCCAGTCTAGACGTGACAAATGTATGGACCAGTTTTTCTGCATCATTTTTAGATGTTTCTAATTTTAGTGATATTACGCAGGTGGAAGAAGGCAGTTCTAGTAACGTTTTTAATGTGGGGGGTAAAAGACATGTCCTGATCAAAAATAACACCAAGATTTTTAACATTAGAGCTGGAGGACAGATTAATGTCATCTAAGGAGGGAGAAAGACTGAAAAATTCATTCCTAAGATGCTCAGGTCCAAAAACCAAAACCTCAGTTTTGTCTGTGTTCAACAGGAGAAAATTAAGAGTCATCCAGGTTTTTATGTCTTTAAGACATACTGGTAGTCTAAGTAGCTGATTGGATTCATTGGGTTTAATGGACAAATATAATTATGTGTCATCAGCATAACAATAGAAATTTATCCCATGCTCATCCTGGAGATGAGCTTACATTAATAATACATAATACATTACGGCAAAGACTGGTTCATCCCAAAGATCCAGTCCCCCGGCACAAACAGAGTAATGTTGTGTATGCTGTTCAGTTTCAGGAGGGCTGTGATCAGTCTTACATCGGGAAAACAAAACAGCCACTGGCCAAAAGGATGGCCCAGCACAGAAGATCAACATCATCAGGCCAGGACTCTGCGGTCTACACTCATCTCCAGGCCAGCGGTCACTCTTTCAGGGATGAAGATGTTCACATCCTGGACAGAGAGGAACGATGGTTTGAGAGAGGAGTAAAGGAGGCCATCTTTGTGAAAAGAAATCGTCCATCATTAAACAGGGGTGGAGGCCTCCGGGTTCAACTGTCCCCCTCTTACAATGCTGTTATTGCTAGTATCACTCAGCCCTCTGTGAACAGTAAACAGCCATCAGTGTGCTAATGATCCATTGTTAGGCTGATGGTCCTTCTTGAGCATGTGATCAGCTGGTTTTGGTTGTCAGCAGCAAAACTGGTTGATCCACTCTGAGAAGGTGCTATTTAAGAGACTGAGCTGAAAACAGCACCTAACTGAGGAAGTCTCTTGGATGAGAGACGAAACGTTTCTATATTTTTTTGCTTTGTTTTGTTTTTTGTTGTTTTTTTTGAATGTCCAGAGGACCAGATTGAACTTTTTTGGATTTTTCTACCTGGATTATTGAGCATGCATCAGGATACTCATGAGTTAAATTGGTGATACATTCTAACTAGTTTTTTTTTTTTTTTTTACTGAACATGTGAGCTTGAGCAATGAGTACACCGTTCAGTGATCTTTGGGCCCTTGTGATGCTACAGCAGTGATATGACACCACTCACGGAGACAGTGCGCTTTTGTGTGCAGAGCTTATGTTTCAGTGGTTGGTGACACCACACTGGTTCTATTAACAGACCAAACCTTTCTGTGTACAACTAGTTTTATCTTTTTGTTCAGATAGGTAACTTGCAAGAGAGAAAAATGCATATTAGACCATTTTATTTGGAGGAAGGAAGAAAGTGAACTGACAGAGATAGCTCAGTCTCCTATCTTCTTAAATAAATCCATTCATTTCCTTCCTTGAATTGTGTTCTGATAATCAAAGAGAAGCGAGATCCTTTGGCTTTCAGGATGACATGGGAAGTCGGCATCAAAAGAATCAAACGCTAAGAAGCTGTGCTGTCTTAAACTATTTATTTCAGCCGCAAGATGACACGAAGACAAGTGTGAAAGAGGGTCAAACTTCTTATTGGGAAGTAGATGTGGTGGAGCAACTTGAAAAGAAACTTTGTTCTTAGCGTCGGGCTGTTTCATGTGGCTTTTCACATGATGTTCAGTCAGAGTGATATTTGCAAATCATGTTCAAATTTACCCTGAATTTCAGGTGCCACTATTTACCACTTCGTTTTTGACTAAATGTGTGCCATTTTTGCTACTGTGTCATCAGTCAGATTAAACTGGACTACTGAATGTTTTTGTCACCTCTAAAGTTACGCTACAGCGTGCGCTCCCAGGACTTTATTACCTGCAGTGTACGTTCCCTCAGTGAGGACTGAACTAGGCAAAAGGGCCTTCTCCTACTCCGCTCCTGTTTCCTGGAATATCTTACAAAAAGACCTGAAGCTCTCGACCTTGACCTCTCTGAGTGGCTTCAAACATCTGTCAAGTTCTTGGCAAGAAGCAATGCAGACATGTTCCTGTTTTTAGTTTTCTACACCGCCTTATAATCTAGCTGTTTTTGGTACTTTTTTTGACATCTTATTTTAATTTGAAAGAAAAAAAATCCGTATGCCTCTTTTATGATCGTCTGTTGTTGTCGTTGTTATCCACTGTTGTCATCACTCTTTGGTGAAAGGTCTCTCTTTCTAAATGAGTCCTCGAGGCTCAATTAACCTGTCTAAATAAAGGTTGAAGGAATTTCAGAGACTCTGAAATAATAACTAATTGCATGTAATTGTGTCCAGTTCAATACACTTAAGCTTAATACACTGAGCTCATCTTTCACATAGTCATCCAGAAGAAACCAACTTTCTGTAGATAAATGGGGTATCTTGACTAGAAAAAAGAAGAACTGTTTCTCTGTAGTATTAATGAGCACGAGCTGCCAGATAAGGAGACCACACCTGTTTATCTTCCACGCGCACAGCAGGGGCGATAACGCTTCTGTCAAACCCATTCAAAAACTCATGCACGAACAAAATGTTACATAGGCGGGGCAGTGAGGCGTAACGGGAGCTCAGTAAGAAAACTTCTCATTGGACGCTCAAACTAAAAGCCCGCCTTCTTCCTCTTAATTTTGAATGTGATTGGTTCGTGCTCCAACGAGCCACGCCTTCTACAGACGACGTCACACGGGCGCTGGAACTCCGGCAAAGTAACGATGTTGTGGTTGTTCATGCCTCGGCTGTTTCCTCTCGGAGCGCTAACTCGTGCGGTAGAGCGCCCGTGAGAGCTCACCCCGCATGGAGCTGAGCTCGGACAGCGCGGTGGCCTCGCTGGAGATGTCGCAGACCCAAGGCCAGGACGACGGGGCTTTTAAAAGTGACGGGGAGAGCTACGAGAGCCTGCCGCCACACGTCTCCGTAACGACCCACATGACAGCGGGAGCCGTGGCAGGAGTGCTGGAGCACTCGGTGATGTACCCCGTGGACTCTGTCAAGGTAACACGCAGACAAACGGCACTTCTCAGGTGTTCTCACCTGTCCAGCTCCGAGGCTAACTGCCCTCCGAGCACCACTGACGGTGTGTGCTAACAGCTAGCAGGGAAATCTTCCTCCTGTTAGCCTCCGTGTTAGCTCCTCCAGCTCCGGCTGCCTTCACTGCACGAACTAGTTCAACAGGCTGTGCAGAATGAATCAGAGCAGAAATTAAACACAGATGGAGCCATTATTTGCACCATTGCACAAACTTTGCTAAATGAATTACCACATGCTGACCTAAGTAAACGCCCTGTAAGTGCAAAAGTACCAGTTTATCCGGTTAACTAGTCATAAACTGAGTTTGACCTGCTTTATCAACGCTGATTCACGGTTTCATAAAGCAGCAAAACAAACTGTGTTTTCTGCCTTTTCCCTCCTGACATGAAGAGAAGGTCAAAGTTAGGTTTCTCGTGATGTCAGACTTCCTTTTGGATCAAATCTGCAATCACCACCACACTGTTGCTCTCATTTTTCATTGCTTTGCTTAGAAACTGGTTAATTCATTTGTAAAATACGACAATTTTTATATTATTATAATAACGTAAGCATAACCTTGTCAGGCAGTAAGGAACAAATCAACACTCTGGCTAAATAATCTGGCTTACTGTTCATTAATACATTACATTCCTTCTTATTGATGGGAATACAATAAGTATGTACACACAAAATGTGTGATTTTGTCATGTAGTGGCAGTAAACACACAATATTTTAAATATACAGTTTAACATTTATTAACAATATAAGTGTCAGGTTTACCGTATCAGTTTGAGACCTTTTCTTTTCCTTCAAATATAGAAACAAAACTTTCTGAAATTAAAAACGAAAGGCAAGTTCATTTTTTTGATCAATGAGTTTAAAGAAAAAGTTCTCAGCTTTGCATAAAACTTAACATGAAAATGTCAAAAATGTGGTATTTATTAAATTGGTAACATTCTGCTCACTACTGATGACATCACACCGGAGTCTAACCTGTTAAAGATCTGTTTTTCTTGCTTGATTTAAAGGCCACGGCAGTCCTAGACGTAATTACATTACCAATAACTTCTCTCAAAGCAAACAAAACAAAAATAAAGATTTATCAAGTTTCGGGTCAGAAAAATGTCAACAAAAAATGTGAAGTCAGTTCTTTGGACAGGTTTAGTTAAAAAAAAAAAAAAGTGATTCAAAGTACCTCAGTGGTAGATGAGAGATGGAAACAGGAGATTTTTTTTTGTTGCTTATCTAAATAATGAGTGAATGTTTGCTAATTCAATGAAATTACCAGTTTTGTTCTTGTTAAAAATTGGCCCCAAAGGCAAACACCTTTTGTGAACTTTGCTCCTGCAATCCTTCTTTGCTTCTGCTCAGCTATTGTTCTGCAACAATGTAGTGCTGTTGTTTGTGTGATCGTTTAACATGCTGCCTTATTCCGTCTCCAAACGTTACATTCATGTTCATTAATGTAGTATTTCTATCCACATCACTCATCTTCACACATGGACCCATAAGGTTTCATTATTACCCAAACCAGTGTTGTCATTTCCTCTGAGGGTTGTCCAGGTTTTCACAAGCTCTTTACAGCAACAGACGCGTTATCAGTTCTTTTCTGGAGTCAAACCGCTTGCACGTTTTATCTAATGTAAACCACACTCACATTTGGGAGTCGCAAATACCACCTTGTTACGGTTAAAAATCGGTAATAAGCACGTCAGAGGATGTACTGTGCGAGTCTTGGGATGGTTTTACCTGAAAGCAAAGGATATTTTGATGCGTAGAGTTTAGCTGAAGGTGTTACTGACCACACAGTGTCCGTCTCAGTCTTTCAGTAAAGCTGGCACAGATGAAGGAATCAAGGAGTAGCCTGCATTAAAGCGAGGAGGGGCATCTTATCGGTCCTGCACATTCTTGAAATCAGCCTCGTGCAGCGCAGGGTGTGTGTAAGCAGTTGCTTCTCTCTAGTATCGATTAGTAAACAGTCATAAAAGACAAAGTTAAAAGGATAAGGCACAATCTGTAGGTATTTGATAGGACTGTTTATTTATTTGGGCCTAAATGGCAATACTTGTTTAGTTGCATCAGTTAATATTATTATTATTAACCTTTATTTAACCAGGTCAATCCCATTGAGATCACAGATCTCTTTTGCAAGGGAGGCCTGGACCTGAAGGCAGACTAACATGCATGTTTTTAATCTGTGGGAGGAAACCGGAGTACCTGGAGAAAACCCAAGCAAGCACGAGAAGAACATGCAAACTCCACACAGAAAGACCCCAGGTCCAACCGGGGATTGAACCCAGGACCTTCTTGCTGTGAGGCAACAGTGCTAACCACTGAGCCAGTTTGACATTCATGTTGAAAGCAGACAGTTTTTTAGAGCTGATCATTTACAGCCGTTAGCGTTTAACATAGTAGGTTTACTTTTAAATCAAAGGCAAAAAGCCTTATTTCAATTTTTTTTTTTTTTTACGTTACTCCTGAATTTTTGGACTTTTTCTGCATTTGGTTCAATTCTTTATCAAATTCTTGTCTAAGTAACAGCTGAAGAGTTAAAAGGGTATTTCAGGCCTCGTTTCTTGTTAAAGTGAGGTTTTGTGATTGTTGGCTCGTCAATCTTGTCAGAAGTAAATTCTTTCTCCAAAGAGCTCTCTCTCTCCTTCTTTTTCCTTTTGACGGTTTCCTCTTCAGGATTCACAACAACGAGTCGTCCTCCTCTGTCTCACTCTGCCCTCTGTCCTCATCCCAACCACCTCGACGACATGCAGTTACAGAAGCTGGAATCAAAAACCCATTCTGCAGTTTTTTTGTCACAAAAATTCTCAAATATGCGTCTAACGGAAATTAAATTGATATTTTATTGTCAAACCGAAGGAAGGAAACGCTGACGAACATGCTGAGGAAGATAGACACGGTCTGTCCCCTCCCCATGTCTCCTCCCCAAACAGAAAGCGTGCTTTGTGTTGTGCAGACAACTTGGCATGCTGGAATAAAACGGCGCTGCCACGGTCTCTTGCACCAGCCTTAGAGAGTTGTGCATCACTCAGATGGGACTGCAGTGGTGCCAAGACGTCCTCTCTGAAGAATGTGACAGCTTTACAGCTGATGAAGAAGTCAGGATATTGTTCTCCAGAACATCGGATGTTCTCTTCAAGGTCGCGGAGTCAAAGTCGTTCAATAATACTCAGCTTTTAGTTGGATGCTGAAGTGAAACAAAACAAATGTAAACTGATGATTAAGATACAGAACTTCATTTGTTTCTTTCTTTGCCACAGACAAGAATGCAGAGTCTGCAGCCGGACCCTAATGCACAATACAGGAGTGTGTATGAAGCTCTGAAGAAGATCATCCGAACAGAAGGGGTCTTCAGACCGCTGAGGGGCCTCAACATCACTATGATGGGAGCGGGGCCGGCCCATGCGCTCTACTTCGCCTGCTATGAACGGGTGAAGCACTCACTGAGTGACATCATTCAGAGAGGTGGCAACAGCCATATTGCTAACGGTACAAGCTTTTATTTCTCCACACAACTCTCTCGGACATCTTACCAGCTGCTCGGACACTAAGCACTGGAAGAGTGTAGTTAGTATAATTCATAAACAGTTTACAGTAGGAAGGACAAAAACATGAGCAATCCCATCCAGGATATGTCGTTTATTATTTTTTTTCCATCAAGAGGAAAACTTTAATTCAGCTCTGTTTCCCATGAATGTCTGTTTCAAAATATGTAAGAACTGAACTTCAATGAGTGAACCGGCTGTCGATTCAACAAGATGTGTTGCTGTTTCAGGTGTAGCAGGGAGTGTGGCCACCGTTCTCCATGATGCAGTCATGAATCCAGCTGAAGGTAAGAAAAGCATCTTCAAAATGAATAACTGATGAAAAGACAATTCACGGGCAAGCAGTTTCACTTGCATGACGAAACATTTTAGAAACTTTTTCTGGTAGAAAATGTTAATTTTCTGACTCTTGCTTCCAAACAGCCAGACTTGCATTTCTTTGAAGTATAAGAGCTAATAAAAAAAAAAAGCCTAACAATGCTGGTTCATCTCTTGAGTTTAGGAGCCTTTTGTCATAAAGAATGAACTCGCATGCAAGTTGCAAACAAAAGTAAAAAATATGGTCAGGTATTGGAGTAAACATAAATGAAAAGCAGCTAAACAAACTTTTCTAATGACTGTTAAAAAGCCCAAAGAACTATGGATTCAAACTACAATAAAGATCACGAGAAAGTCTAACTCCTAGGTAGCAACATATAACTGAGGAACAGCAAAAACTTGTGCACTGATGAATATGTTTTATCTAAAAACAATCCCATCCTGGATATGACATTTTTTCTTCTCTATTTTCCATTAAGAGGAAAATTTTGTACTAATGAATATTTTTCTCTTAAAAACAACCAGAAACAAAAACGTTTTGAAGAATAGCTTAAAAACTCTAGCCCTTCTGTGATTTTTTTTTTAAATTATTTTTCTTATTAGCCCAATTAAATAATAATAAAAAATAAAAAAAATACAAAAAGATGCCAAATAATTACGTTTCTTAGCGTTGGTTTCATGGACTATTTGAATGTCTTTTGCTTGGGACTTTTATTATTATGGCTGAATTGGCAAAATGGCCACAAAACTTAACCAAGACAAAAGCACACACAGATTTTTGTAACCAGTTCAGAAATCTGCAGCTGAAATCAGGACGTGTCAAACGAGCTAAAGTACTGATGTATCAGAGCTTCAGTGATATTACAACAAGTGTACTTGCACAGTCTTAAAACTAGTTTAGACTTATAAAGTCCAACTCACAAAGCCCAGCAACAAAGAAAAAAGAAAATTATGTCCACCCGAAACTAGATCTTCAAGTTCTTTAGCAGAAAACAAAAAGAAACAAAAACATTGTTACAAGGATGAGAACAAGATACATGAGTTGGGTCAGATGGTGTCGAGCATTTTTCATTTGAACTCTGCTTAGTCCTGACAGAAGTCTGTGTGTGTAAAAAGTGTTTTTATATAAACTGCACAGTGTGAATTTGCTTAGAATAGATATAAAAACATGCTAATGCAGTCTCCGGTGTTCTCCTGTTGCTTAGTGATAAAGCAGAGGATGCAGATGTACAACTCTCCATATCGAGGACTCTGGGACTGCGTTCGAACAATAACGCAGACCGAAGGCGTTGGGGCCTTCTACCGCAGCTACAGCACACAGCTGACCATGAACATCCCCTTCCAGGCCGTTCACTTCATCACTTACGAACTGATGCAGGAGCAGCTAAACCCCCACAGGCGTTACAACCCTGGCAGCCACATATTGTCGGGAGCGGCAGCCGGAGCCATTTCGGCTGCCGTAACGACTCCCCTGGACGTTTGCAAAACGCTGCTCAACACGCAGGAGAACGTAGCGCTGAACTCCATGAACATCAGCGGCCACCTGACAGGAATGGCCAACACCTTCAGGACAGTGTACCGGCTCGGCGGACCAGCAGCCTTCTTTAAAGGGGTTCAAGCTCGGGTGATCTACCAGATGCCCTCCACCGCCATCGCCTGGTCGGTGTACGAGTTCTTCAAATACTTCCTGACAAAGCAGCAGCTGGAACAAGAGGCTGGATCTGGGCCGCTGTAATGGCAGGTGGAGCTGCTGCCGCCTGACGAAAGACCAAAGGCGTGCGAGTCGACGTGGTTTGACAGGTGCTGCTGAGGAAACGGCGCCAGAAGTTTCATCAGGTGGAGTCGATTGCCACTCCTCGTTTTTCCTTTTATGATTTAGGTTTGTCTCTGAGTTGCGGTGACGTTGCTCAGTCGTGCTATGCAACATAGAGGAAGCGTGCGTTTTGTTCTTCACCTCACTCCACTACCAAACTTTACCAAGTTCTCCACACGTGAAGAGCTCATGGTGATGTAGCCGAAGCATTGTTTGGGTTCTTAATATTGGAACTTTTTATTTTTTCAGCCTACTCTAGCTTGTATTTTATGGATTTGGAAGAAACACAGTGCTGGTTCTTTAGTTTTAATGTTGTTTGGAAAAACTTGTTACAACGTTTTCTGAATTTCTTCTCCTCTGAGTATCGGACAGCAGCTTTTCCCAAGTGCCTCATGAATCTCGAACACAGCTTCAACTTCTGTATGTTTTCTTTTCTGAACATGGGAAGTATTTTTATATTTGTGCGAGTTTCATTAGATCTATAAAAAGCACAGCTCTGCCATAAACCGTAACCTTAAAACACCGTCAGCATTTGTTGAATCTAAACATGATAACTGGATGGTATTTCACACATTTTCAAAACGATTTGTCTTATTTTGTGTGCATTAGGCACAGATTGACTTTATTTTCCACCATGAAATGTGCTTTTTCTGAGTTTTAACACTTGTAGACCGTTCTGGTCCAGTTAGCCTTGGTTAAGTGCAGCACTGCATTGATGCTGAATCACGCACAATTTAGAGCCGTGGCAGCTTCTCTACTGTTTAGATATTCAAGACATAAATATATATCTTCACTGATTACTCTCTAAAATCAGAAACAAAGTCTGTTACTTTAGAGGATGGAACTATATCAAACTCTTTGTACATTTGTTGTTTAGGGTTTGTGTGGCCTGCTTTTTATGTGTCATTGCTATTCAATTTTTTATTTTATAAGCACATAATATATGTTTATCTGACACTTCTGATGCACATTCTGGTTCAAAATGTCACCTTACAAATTAAATATATATATATATATTTAAAAGGAGCAACAATGCCTTGCACACTTGGTTAGGCATTAAAAACTTGATTAAATCTTTTATTTTCTCTCATCCTGTTGTAGTTAAACATTTCCTGTGTGCTCTGCTACTTCCAGCCCATTGTCTATTTTAGATCCAGCAGTCAGGACATTTTGCCAGATATTGATGTAATCCAGAAAGCAGTTTGAATTGATTTTAATTATGAAGGATGTTTATATGGGTTTATTTTCCCTAAACAGTTGTTTTGGGTTTTAGTGGCCTCACAAACCCTGCAGATTGCTCCTGACGTTTGCAGACGGGCAAATTTGAACAAACCAAAGCCGTGCGTTGCATTCTGTGCATTCTGCTTTTAATCTTCAGAGCTCTCCTGCTGTGAACTCTCATTCCTTTGACCCCCACCGTTTCCCCTCTGTGTAGTGTTAAATTGCTAACTTGAGACTTGAAGCTTGTAGGTTGAGTTTTTCTACAATTTTCACATTCCTCAAAGTGGAAATGACACATTTCCACGAATGTCTGAATGTTTTTTGTTTGATTTTGTTCGGTTGAGAAGTGAAATTGAGACCTAATTGTGAATCAGCTGATTTGACTGGTTTCACGTCACAAGTGTCAACAAGATGTTTTGTCAGCTTGAATATAAAAGTAGCCTAACTGGCGATTTTATATTATTTTTCTATTTTGTCATAATTAAAGTTAAACATCTCAGTGAATCGTTGCACACATTGTGTGGTTGGATCGCACATTCCTCCTCTGTTATTTAGAAAATCACGAAGAAGAAAATAAACGTGTTGCAAGAGGAGAATGTTGATGAACACTGCGTCCATTCCACATGCTTTCTATCGTATTTTTGCATTAATGACAAAAGCCTTTAAAATCATAGAAGAAAAGTTTTAAATCAGCACTCATTTTTTAATCGTAGAGGAAAGCTGTTGATCCTATGTTGGAATTTTCATATTGTAAACATTTTCATGTTATTTATGCTCAAAAGATGAAAAATAGGAATATTGTGTGATTATTTGTGCTGAGTTCTGTGTCCAGAACAGGAATGTTTGGAAGAGTGACAATGCAAACAATAAATGATTGTGAAAATGCTGCTGCAGTATGAAACCACTGGAGCTGAACTAAATAAATGAAGATGAGGAATGTGACGTGCTCGGGTTTGATTCTGAAGATGGACCTGTCTTCTGTTATAGATGATGGACAAGAAGTTTCTTCTTCTGTCAGTGTTTGGTTACATTCACCAGCAGCTTTAAAAGATCACATTATCGTTTAATGATTTTGAAATACTTTGCCTCACACCAACAAAGGTTAAATTGTGTCATCTGGACCAGTTTCTTTAAGTGAGAAACTTAAAGTTATCTACCTGGATGATTGAGCTTACAACACTTTTTTTGCCTTACACCAAAAATGGTATTTCAGTACAAATCCTGTTGATTTGATTGTGTTTCAGTTTAGTAATCTCTGATTTAAAACATGTTAAAGTAAAACAGAAATGTGTTTGGCTTATGTGTTTTCAAATTTGAGTAATTATAGAGAGGGGGTGTGTGGGGGGGAGTAATTTGAACAAACTTTTTCTTTTATGCATGTTTGTCCATCAGTACTATTACAGCTCCAATAGAGGGCAGTGTAGTATCATATACTGTAGTTCCTGTCTGATATTCAAGTGTTCATTTCTAAAAATACACTTGCAAAATTCCTGTTCTTATTTCTGACTCTGAAAAAATGAGTTTTTCTCTGTTTGAACGCCGCATCATCTTTTAGGAACATGTTGCAAATATGGATTTCAAATAATTTGGGAACTAAAAATAATAATAGTAAAAAAAAAATCAAGACCAAAATATTTGGAGATCATTATCTGAATGTAATTGCAATTATTGTGGAATAAATTGCAAAACAAAAGGCAGCAACAGTAATAAATTAAAACAAAGGAAGAGTAGCATTCCTTGAAGGAATCCTTGTTGCTCACTGACAAAATACCAGTATGAGCTAAATATTTGTAAATTTGCATAAAATAGACAGTTTTTGTTCATTAAGATTCTTTGGCAGCCGTTTAACAACAACAGTGAGTTCAAGATACATTTTATTTTTTGGTTTAAGTTGTGCCAAATGGTCTAAGCTGCCAAAATGTTAGCGTGTCCGTCACTACACAAATAATGTTCATTTTCTGGACTCATTTTTGAAATTTGCAAATCCTTTACAGCCTAATAAAAGAATGGGATGCTGTGTAAATGGTAAAAAAACAAAAAAAAGTTTTCAAATCTCATAAACTCTTTTTTTATTCACTATTAAACGCAGACCAAATGTTTAAATTAAGAAATTGTACCATTTCTGGTTAAAAACGAGATTGCTTTAAATGATTTGTCAGCAACAAATCTAACTGAAAACAATAAAAAGGGACAGGGTCATGTTTACCACTGCAGCATCCCCTCTTCTTTAAACAAAGATCTGAGGAGACCGGCTGTTTTAGTTTCTGGAGTTGTCCCGTTCTGATCGGAGGAAGGGTTCTAGCAGTTCAGCAGTACAAAGTCCACGCTCAATAATCCAGGTATACAGGTCCTTCTCAAAAAATTAGCATATTGTGATAAAGGTCATTATTTTCCATAATGTAATGATAAAAATGAAACTTTCATATATTTCAGATTCATTGCACACCAACTGAAATATTTCAGGTCTTTAATTGTTTTAATACTGATGATTATGGCATACAGCTCATGAAAACCCAAAATGCCTGTCCCAAAAAATTAGCATATTTCATCCCACCAATGAAAGACAAGTGTTTTTAATACAAAAAACGCCAACCTTCAAATAATCATGTTCAGTTATGCACTCAATACTTGGTCGGGAATCCTTTTGCATGAATGACTGCTTCAATGCGGCGTGGCATGGAGGCAATCAGCCTGTGGCACTGCTGAGGTGTTATGGAGGCCCAGGATGCTTCGATAGCGGCCTTAAGCTCATCCAGAGTGTTGGGTCTTGCGTCTCTCAACTTTCTCTTCACAATATCCCACAGGTTCTCTATGGGGTTCAGGTCAGGAGAGTTGGCAGGCCAATTGAGCACAGTAATACCATGGTCAGTAAACCATTTACCAGTGGTTTTGGCACTGTGAGCAGGTGCCAGGTCGTGCTGAAAAATGAAATCTTCATCTCCATAAAGCTTTTCAGCAGATGGAAGCATGAAGTGCTCCAAAATCTCCTGATAGCTAGCTGCATTGACCCTGCCCTTGATAAAACACCGTGGACCAACACCAGCAGCTGACATGGCACCCCAGTGACTGTGGAAACTTGACACTGGACCTCAAGCAATGTGAATTCTGTGTCTCCTCTCTTCCTCCAGACTCTGGGACCTTGATTTCCAAAGGAAATGCAAAATTTACTGTAATCAGAGAACATAACTTTGGACCACTCAGCAGCAGTCCCAGGCGAGATGTTTCTGACACAGTCTCTTGTTCAAAAGTGGCTTGACCTGGGGAATGTGGCACCTGTAGCCCATTTCCTGCACACGCCTGTGCACGGTGGCTCTGGATGTTTCTACTCCAGACTCAGTCCACTGCTTCCGCAGGTCCCCCAAGGTCTGGAATCGGCCCTTCTCCACAATCCTCCTCAGGGTCCGGTCACCTCTTCTCGTTGTGCAGCGTTTTCTGCCACACTTTTCCCTTCCCACAGACTTCCCACTGAGGTGCCTTGATACAGCACTCTGGGAACAGCCTATTCATTCAGCAATTTCTTTCTGTGTCTTACCCTCTTGCTTGAGGGTGTCAATGATGGCCTTCTGGATAGCAGTCAGGTCGGCAGTCTTACCCATGATTGCGGTTTTGAGTAATGAACAAGGCTGGGAGTTTTTAAAAGCCTCAGGAATCTTTTGCAGGTGTTTAGAGTTACGTTGTTGATTCAGATGGTTAGGTTAATA